GATTTGAAGGATGCAGAGAATTTAGTGAAACAGTAGAGGGTATTAGGGTAGTACAACTCAGGCAGAGGAGACAACAAATGGAAACACGTTAAAGTGTAAGTATTTGAAGTTTGATGTTTGTTTAAGAAACAACAAGAAAACCAAAGTGAATGGAGCAAAGTGAACAAACCAAGAGAATAACAGCAGATGAATCAGGGAAAAGGAAAGTGCCAGGAATTATTCTGAGCCTTACAGGCCATGACAGGGGAATCTGGCTTTTGCACTGAGCTCCAAGAGGTTAAGCAGAGGGCTGACCTGATCTGATGGTCATATTGCAGGGGTCCCAGGCACTGGGCCAAGCATGGACTCTAGTTATGGTTTGGATGTGAGGTGTCCCCCAAAAGCTCACTGTGAGACAATGCAAGAAGGTTCAGAGGAGAAATGCTTGGGTTGTGAGAGTCTTAACCCAAACAGTGATTTAATCCTCTGATAGGGATTAACTTAGTGGTAACTGAAGTGGTGGGGTGTGGCTAGAGGAGGTGGGAATTGAGGAATGGCTTTGGGTATATATTTCTATCTGTCCAGTGGAGTCTCTCTCTGCTTCTTGATCACCACGATGTGAGCTTGCATCTCTCTGCCACACTCTCCGCCATGATGTTCAGCCTCATCTTGAGTCCCAAGAAATGGAGCCAACCTTCTATGGACTAAGATCTCTGAAACCATGAGCCCTCAATAAACTCTTCCTCCTCTATGATTTTGCTGGTCAGATCCTTTAGTTATAGCAGAGAAAAAGCTGACTGAACATTAGGGTAGGAGCAGGAGGACCAATTAAGAAATTACATCAGTAATCCAGATGAAAAATGACAGTGACTTAGCATTGAACATGGTAAAAAGTGGTTGGATTCAGGATACATTTTGAGGTAGAACTAATAGAATTTCCTGACCAAAAGTGAGGAGTAAAAGAATGGAAGGATTTGAGGAATCTTCCAAGGTTTTGAGTCTGAGCAACATAAGAATATAAGAAGGATGAAAATCCTTTCCTGTACACTTTGTGCTCTTATTGATTCTGTCAATTCTGTTTATAAAAAAAATAATAACTTCTGTTTTACTCTGTAGAACTGATGAAAACGCAACCATCTTTAACAACTCTTCAAGTGCTCTTGGTAAATTCAGAGTTGCCATCTGTGAATCATTTTACTAAATGTCACTTCTGAGGACAACACCAGCCTTAGCATTTAATGGGCAATATACCATCAACATGAGGATACTTGAGAAATAGAGAAGAATTAGACGACATATTGCTAGTCTTCTTTAAGTTTTGTTGTCTGTCACCAAATATAGGCATGCAGAGATCTGAGGCTCAATCTGAGTTTGGTTCTTAGGCACAGAGCTTAGGTGTGGGAGTCGGTGATTTCTCTTGGCCTTAGATCTCTGTGTGACCTAAAGATAGAACCCATGTTAGATGGCTTTCCAGAAATAAGGCCTAGTGTAAGATATGAAGTCTGAAGTCAAAGGGTCAAACTAATAACCAGTCTGAAGGAAGAGGTACCAGGATATTGTGTATGTTTCCAATTGTCTTAAAAGACATGAAATACCTCTGTTTTCCAAATTTAGGAAATACCTTACCATGGCTTTCAAGTCCTAATACAGGTCTAATGGGGAGGTGAAGATCAATACATACAAAGTGATACACCAGTAAGTATAACCAAGAATAAAAATGTGTAGTATTATCTTTATTATGCTTCTTCCTTTTTTATTGATGGACTTACTTTGCTATCATTTTAGGCAACTTACTGTTAATAGTATTGCATTTGATAATTTTATCCTTACCCCCCATATTTTATCAAATGCAAATTGCAAATAATTGATCATATCTTGCCTTTAAGAAAGACTAAAATATGGTAAACTTTGAATCAGTCTTGGAGAAAAAAATCAAATTACAAGAAAGTATAAGAACCCAGGCATAATTCTGAGACAGTACGATAAGCTGAACATGTAATACAGACTGTAGCCAAATTCTAATTCTTTCCCAAATCAGATTTCATAAAACATTTTCACTTCTTTGAGTGAGAAAATTAACTTCTCTAATATTTTACATATCCATTATTAAAATTCAATGCAAAAACAACTCCAATGTCAAATATGAATTATTTTGTTGTTATGTTTTTAGTTAATCCTCTTCTCTTTTTTTTTGACAATGCAACAAGTTGAAATTACTACCGTCTAAGGAAACATACTATTTAAGCCTTTAGATTAGATATAAGAATTAGAGGAAAAACATAGACTGGTGTATTAAAGGAAAGAGGTGTCAGAAACCAGATGTAGCAAATCTAAGAAGGTTTTTAAGGAGAAAGTATAATATTCAATTTTAGAAGGAAAAGAGGGGTTTGGCAATGACTTAGATTCTTAGTACAAAAAATATTGTTTCAATTTTCTTCATAATTGAATCTAATAATACCCTTTGCTCTCTAACAGAAAGTTACATTTCCCCTTTGTGGCTTCCTAACTCCTTCTCTCTGAGTCTCTGTCCTTCTTGTCTGGATACCTTCCCTCCCCCACTCCACTCCTTAGGTCTATCTCCTCTAGGTCTATCTCCTACTCTCTGGATCTTTATGAGCATACTTCTCTGAGACTATCTGTAAAAGGGTAACTGAATTGAAGAGGAGACATATATAATCTTTTTGCAGTTTTGCAGTGCTGGGAATTGAACTCATTGCCCTGAACATGCCAGGCAAGGACTTCACCACTGAGCTACACCCACAGCCCAGAATCATATTCTTTTAATTGATCTTTCCCCTGCCCTTCACATTAGAGATCCTGAGTGGGATCGGGCACTCAGTATTGAATCAGATCCAACCAGTTTGTAATTCTTTTCTCTAGAGATAGACTCATAATCCTGAATCAAAAATGTTGGAGTCGCACTCCTCTATCTCCCCAAATTGACCTCTAACAAAATTCTGTTTTTCTCACCATTTGTCTGTGAAGAGAGTTTTTATTTTAAACTCTTCCAATTTAAATGGGAAGAAAAGGTTAAAGTCAACCCCCACCCCTTCCTCGGCGGGTAGGACAGTGATCTACAGTTTCCCACTGAATTGGAGCCAAAAACTCTGCCAATTTTGCTTTCATGTCCCTGAGCTCTATCCTGACCTCTCATATGACCGGGAGGGAGTGTGGGGGGAGTTGTTGCACAAAATCTATCTGGGCATCTTTCTAAAAGTGCTATCTTCGTCCATATTTCAAAACACTCACAGATATTTTATCATTAATTAGTATTCATATTATGTCTCAAACAATCTGTTCAAGAATAGGGGAAGTGAACTAGTTGAACAGCTCTTCTGTTTGTCTAGTAATTAACATGGATGATGTATGTAGAACCCAAGACCTTACAAGGGGGAGGAGGTGGTCAAGTGTTAGGTAGGTAACTCCTAGAACATTTAAATGCTTACCTATTTTGGGGACTGGGCTTCTCCAAAAAAAAATTATGCTTGGCAAACAGGGTGGGGAGACACAGGCCTCTTTAAAAATAGACCCATGCCTCTTGATTCACAGCATCCTGGATTTGCTTTTCATCATGTTAACATGCCACTTGGAAGCTGGCTGGACTCCCTTGTTCAGTGACATGTATTTCATACTGTTTTTTTTTTTAAACCATTTGTTCTATCAACCACAACATGCTTTGAATTTCTCTTTCAAATTGAGAGTGTATATATAGATTGATCAAAACAATATTTTTAACATTCCAAACAATTTAGATAGATAGTGGATGGGTGTCAGTTAATCTATTATGTTCCTCTCTTCCTCCTCCCCCTCTTCAGCTGCTAATCTTAGAACTTGTGTGCCAAATTGTGTAAGATATTCTTCCAATAGCTACATGTGTGACTCTTTTGTGAGCTCTAGAGACAGTTATGAGGACAGATTTGGAGTTGCATATGGGACTGTCACATGGTTTGATTGCCTTGTCTTCTAGGCACTGAGATTTCTTTTTACTGAGCTTTAATACTGAGGAATTTTTAGTTGTGATTAAAGTTCAGCAAAGTCTCTATTAAAGAATTTACACACTTTGGCAACAGAGAAGGAAAACCGTTTTTCCTGATCACTACTCTGTATTTGGCATCTGCATATACTGAACAGTTCATGTGTTTACTCTTTTCAATAATTAAAAAATCACAGTTTTTTTCACAAAATCTTAATGAAAATCATAAGAGAGTTAAAAGCATTTATTAGCCTTGCTTTTTTGTAGCAAGATCTAGCAAATGTCTCAACAGAAAAAAATATGCAGATGCTTTGTAAAAAAAAGGTCTCAAATACTTACATTCAATTATACAATGTAGTTTGGGAAAAAATATCCACTCATATCCTTAGGAGTCAAAAATTTCATGTTTTAAGTATATGAAGTAGATAAGGTACAAATCCATTTTCAATTTTAAAAATTTGAAATTTGAAACACATATTTGAAATCTTAGGTCACTCTTTCATGACCTAAGACCCTATAATACTTGGTTTCATTGAACACAGTGCCATTTATGAACACAGACTTGAAATGAAGTTTTTCTTCTAATCCTGTTTTAATGTTTTTCAAAGATAATGTCTTAATGACATCTGTATTCAATGAATTAAGGTTATATTATGATGTCATTGCAAAAGTGTTAAGTGTTAAGCTAATTCTTTAAGACTTAGTATATACAACTATTCATTCTTGTATTTATTTTACCCTTTAAAACACATATAGTGGTTAATTATTCAGATTTGGTCCATGAGTAAACTCAGTAAGTTTGGTTGTACTGGAGGAAAAAATCTTAATTCAAAAAGATAATAATGATGACTATCATTTATCAATTTCCTGCTCTAAGCTTAAACATAATATAATAGATGTTTTATATACACCTTATCTCAAGAAAAACCCACCAATTTAGGTATTATTATCTCAAATTTTCTAGTTGATTAAGAACTTTGGAAGTGGCTTAAATGCATAGAGAAATGATTTTCATGTTTCAGACCTGGATTTCCTTTTCTTATTTTAGGTTGTAGAAGTCCTTTACCTTCCTGGGAAGATTTCACTGGTACCTTACACAAGGAAGCTTGTGAGTAGTAGAACACAAATAGAAGCTACAATATCTTTAAGCCACATCATGAAATACTAGAGGCTACACATAGATGAGTCAGACTTCACTCTCCGATGGCTCAATGTTACATAACAGACACTTGGTGTGTGGACACCTGGGAGAAGAATTTAACATAGAAATAGGTACCTACGGAATTATTTTTATTTCTCACCTACAAAAGGGCAACTTGTGAAAAGATTTTTCTTCAAAAATTATCAAGTCTTTCCCAGTGCATTTCATGAGGGTTTGAGCTAAATCTAGCATAATAAAGTTTGATTGAGCTGTTGTGTTTAGCCTTCTAAGTGGCTGATTGAGTAAGAAACAATTGAAAAAGAAAATTGCGTAATAGAAAGTTATAGTGATGACTAAATTTATCTTAATTTCCTAAAGCAATAAGTTAAAAGCGTTCTTTAAGGGCAGTATAGAGTTCTTAGAAAATGTTGAAAATTACTCTGTTTAGAATATTTCTGTCCATATGTCAAACTATACTTTCTGGGAATTGAGAAGGGCATTTTAATTCTTCTAAAATTTTGTTCACTTGGGGTAAGTTTTATCTCTTTTTTTTCCCCAAGAACATTTTAAAAGGGTCACATCTTTCCACTCTTCAAAATTATCTAACAGGGAGTCTGCTTTTTAAGCACAAGATCTGTACCTAGATTTAAGTTGGAACTTTTTGTTATCCTACAGATTTCCAAAGTAGTTCTGCAATATACTGAATTTAGATCATATTATTATATACAATTTTTTTTACCATTTTACTGTCAAAAAGCAAAACTTTTTAAATAAATAATAAAGTAAGATAAAAATTGGAATATATTCTAGGAGGAAGAAGAATCTGGGTCTTTGTTGATGTTAAACGAAATATTGGCAATGTATAATTAATTGCAGATGATATTATCCACATAGAAAATCCATGAGACATCAGTAAAGCTAATGAGTTTAGTAAGATTGCTAGGTACAAAAGAAATATGAAGAGTTTATCTTCTATTAGCAGTGACCAATTTTAAAAGATAATGGGGGAAAAAAGACCCATTGTACAATAATTTGTGGAGTTTTTTTGGTTTTGTTTTTATTTGTTCTAGTTATACATGAATGATTTCTGTTTTAGTTGGCTTTTTTGCTACTGTGACCAAAAGACCTGACATGAACAATATCAGACAAGGTCAGGCACACTCAGGTGTATGGCCATAGACCTGACATGAACCATTTCAAAGGAGTAAAAGTTTATTTGGGGCTCATAGTTTTAGAGGCCTCAGTCCATAGATGGCCAAGTCCATTGCTCTATGCCTTAGATGAGGCAGAACATCGTGGTGGAAATGTGTGGCAGAGGACATGACAACTAGGAAGGAGAGAGAGAGCTCCCCTTACCACAGACAAAATATTTACCCCCAAATCACATCCCCCAATTACCTACCTCCTCCAAGCACACTCTACCTATCTATAGTTACCACCTAATCAATTCCTATCAGTGGATCAAAGCATTGATTAGGTTAAGGCCCTCATGATTCCATCATTTCACCTCTAAACTTTCTTGCATTGTCTCACACATGAATTTTTGGGGAACACCTAATATCTAAACCATAATTATATCAAAAGTACAAGAAATTTCAAAATCACCATTAAGAAAAAATCTTCATGACAGAATGATACATTTTTAAAGTGGAAAGATAGAGCATGTTCCTGAAATCAGAAATCATTTAAAGATGTCTGCTTTCTACAATTTTACTTAAAAGATAAATTTGACTTGGGGCTGGGGATGTGGCTCAAGCAGTAGCGCACTCACCTGGCATGCGTGTGACCCGGGTTCGATCCTCAGAACCACGTACAAAGATGTTATGTCCGCCCAAAACTAAAAAATAAATATTAAAAATTCCCTCCCTCTCTCTCTCTCTCTCTCTCTCTCTCTGTCTCTCTCTCTTTCTGTCTCTCTCTGTGTGTGTGTCTCTCTCTCTTTAAAAAAATATTAAAAAAATAAATAAATAAATTTGACTTTATTAGAATGAAATCCTATAGGGAATGAACTTGACACAAGATGCTGAGGTAGACTAGAAGGAATAAAGCAGACAAAAAATAGCCTGGAAACAGAAACAAGAGGCGTATAGGGGGATAGAGAAGGAAGATAAAGTCTTACACTGCCAAACATTAAAATATAAAGGTGTAATTAAAATCATCTGGCTTTTGGCAAAATAACAAACAGGAACTAGTGGCTCCAACTTAAGATTTCTCTTAAAATGATGTGCTTTCACATTTGTGGAGATGTTAGCATTTCTTTTGATCAAACAGGGCCAAAACAGTTGCCTATTGTTAAACTGGCCAACCAGTTGGAAACATCTCGATTTTCATGAATGAGCCTTCTTAATTCTGTGTGTACTAGCAAGGTGGAGTTCACAAGAAGCCCACACTAGCTGTCTCTTATTTTCGGTGAGAGTAGTTGTGGTTTTTCTGAATATCCTTGGATCTGAGATTTGTTTATCTCAGGTTTGGGTTGTTCGTTTTTTTTCTTTCCATGATTCCAGGGGTCTATGGAATTCTAGTAAAAGTTGCTTTCTTCAATCAATATAGAAAATATTTTCAGATTTGTGCTTTAATATTGTTGCCTGACTGACATATTTGAATTTGTGTAGCTTCATTTGGTACTCAATATAAAATAAAAATAAAACTACATAAATTTCTAAATTATTTCAGCTAAACTTAAGTTTTAATATAGGGTAAACATACTTATTCATAATATATTTCTTTTCACTTATGTGGATCCAAATTTAGAACCACTTTTACCAAGGAAACAATTCATAGAATATTTTCTGTGAGGCTAGTAGGCAAAATAAGTGCTGGTCATATTAACAGAGCTTAAAAAAACAAAGGTAATTTTTAGTTCTGCCAACCAATACTTAATTTACAACTAAATGTATTGCAAATTTTCACATCAAACAGAAAATTTGAAAAATACAGTTAGTGATGTTCATTTTCCTGCCTAGTTAATGTCAATTTGTAGTGTTTATAGTAATTTGCTATAGAATCATCATATGTTATATTTGTGTTTTTAATAGCATACATTTATAGTTAAGAAGATGATGTGCTTGGAAAACATCATTTCCCAAGTTGAAATTTATAAACTGTATTATGAGAGAAAAAGAATGCATCCAATTTTACTTTAGAAAGACTTTCTATCAGAACTTAAACAATCATTTTATAATTTTCTATAAAGGAAAAATGTTTTAAATTTAATTCCTCACGTCCACAAAGACACTTGAGTGTATTCTTATTGCAATAATTAATAATTGGAACATATCGTAGTAAGCTATAACACTCTTTCCAGAAATTTTTTAGTTCTTTGCTTTTCTTTGAGGGTACTAAGAGAGTATCAGACTGACACAATGTTATTCAACATGCTAATACATTTTAGGAGCATAATGTTGATTGCTAAAACTTTACTAAATTGACTTGACAATTTCAAATTAAGTATCATCTTGTGTTTTTCCTTTCTCCATATCTTTTTCATGACAGTGTCATATAATATGATGGTTTTATGAGTGGTTTTGCTACCTCATTCATCAGAGTAATCAATGGGGAAAGGAGCCATATGCGTTGTAGTCCATTTATATTGAAAAGGACAGATGGTATTATTGGTAAGTGGAAATATTCCAAATATTTATTGTATAATGATATCACAGGGATTCTGACTTCTAAATGTTAATGCTTTAATTTCTACTGTATCTGGCAAATTAAGAATGTATTCAGTTGCCACGTATCCATTTAATCATAGCAATTTATAAATTGTAGCATGAATTACCTTTTAGTTACTACTTTATTTTACATGATGGACATTTGTCTTTCAAAGCCATTGTGTTTATTTATATTATTTCTAAGCAAGTTATCGCTTTAGTCTTAAAAATTTTAAAACTAAAGCAATATTTGGAACATACAGTAAGCTGAAGATAGGATACCAGAAGTTAAAGAAGCAAAGATTCCTTAAAATTTCTCTCCCATTGTCACCTTTGTCCTGTGGTGAGAGGGAGGCAGAGAAGAAAAATGATAGCTAAACAGACTCTGTGAATATTCTCTTGAATTGTTTCTACTCTCCGTAGATTTAGTAAAATTGTATTCTAATATAAGTGTGGACATAAGGACATAATAATGTGATTCAGATTCTAATAATATCCTATTTTCTCAATTTGAAATTAAGTCATTTGAGGAAGGGTTACCACTGGTATAGTATTCTTATTATAGTGTCCTCCCAAATGTTTGGCATCATTGGAAAACTATGTTGATGCCTATGTTGATGCTGGTAGAAATAAATGAAATCCAGTGGGAAAGAGGACTTCACTTTTTACTGTGTGTATTTTTGTACTGTTTAAATACTTACTAAAAGCTGGAGTCATGCCTTACATTTGCGCTTGCAAAGTTAAAAATGACAGTTTCAATCATTCCAAAATGTCTATTCTCAGTGCTTTTTTTAAAAAAAAATAATATGAAGCCCTGTGATTGAAATTCTAGTCTGTATTTAAACACGGTTATTAGCTCTTTGATAGTACCTCTAAGTTGCTTATTATTTTATTTAAAAAAACTATAAATTCTTCACCAGTTATGACCATTTTTTTTCACCCTAAAATGGGGACATATTGTCTATCAGTGTCTTGTGCTTACTTTTTTTAAAATTGTGAACTTGGTGCTGTGAAAAAATTGCAAAGACATAAAAACTAAAGATTTTTATGCTAAAAATGTATAACTAACCATTTAAATTTAATATACATTAGTTACACATTTCTCTGCTTACCTTTATTAGTGACTGACACCACTAAATCCCCAGCATTTAGCACACTGCCATGTGGGGAGCAAAAGCTCAAAGTTTGTTGATGGTGATACTGATAAACAAGGTAGGATGGTGCACATTCATACAATCAATAGGAAATATGAAAAAAAAATAGTTATATGATTTCAAAGTGATGGCATGATCCCCAAATTAAATAGAAACTTTATACTAAATTTTCATAAGATCAATTAATTCTACTGTCATATATAACTAAAAAGACCAAAAAAGAAAATCAGTTCTTTAAAAGGGTTACTATAAAAACAGAGTCTGAGCTGGGGATGTGGCTCAAGCGGTAGCGCGCTCGCCTAGCGTGCGTGTGGCCAGGGTTCGATCCTCAGCACCACATATCAACAAAGATGTTGTGTCCGCCGAGAACTAAGAAAAAATAAATAAATGTTTCTCTCTCTCTCTCTCTCTCTCTCTCTCTCTCTCTCCCTCACTCTCTCTTTAAAAAAAAAAACAAAACAGAGTCTATAATTATACTGAAAAATAATAAATTGACCAACTTTTATTCTGTCAAAAATATAACGTTCGGTGGGTTCAGAGGACCCGGTAACTTAGACCTAGCCAGAGTTATGCCTTATTCCACATAGATGCTCTACTGTATGACTTAGAGAAAAATTATAATAGTTTCATTGCTACTGCCCTGTCAAATGTAAATGAATGTATCCTGATAACTCCAAATATCTCCAAGCTCAGATGATTTCAGAAGCATTGATTAAAATGGCATAGATAATATTCAGATAGAAATCTTAGTACCAATAGTCAAACAAGAAAAAGACTAGTATTCTCTAAAGTGTATGGGATTTGAAACAAAAATACATGTAGATGTATTTTTCACTTTCTTTTTTTTAAATCAATGTCTAATTTATATAAAAGGCATATTTCATTATTACTCCAGCCCTTTATTTTATTTACTTATAAAATTAAATGTGCAAGTGCTTTTCAGTAAAACTTGGGAAGAATTTATATTCTGCACTTTGTATCTATATTTGCAGCCCTAACCTTTCCTGGCTCTTACAAAATCTCGTTATCTGTGTTTCTCTTTCTCCCTTTCTCCTTCCTCCCTTAGTACTCAGTTATACACTGAGAGACATGAAGACAAAAGCAGACATGAAACGTAAATCAGCTATTACTTTTTACCACCAAGCAGGAAAACTTCCTTTCAGGTTACATTGCAGTGTGCTTACTTTGTTCCTGATTTAATAAGTCTTTATTTATCCTTTCTTATTTTAAATTTTGTATAGTGGGGAAATTTTATTATATCACTCCATTGATGGAAAAGAAAAAAAACTCTGAAATTGAGCAATTTGAGTATATTTATAATAAATGCACTATTCCTCACTCTGTCTTGTTAGAAGTTTTCTCCTCAATGTTCTTATCCAGAGTTCTGGATCTAACTCACCTCCTTCCTCCAAAAGAATACATTCCTACAAAGAAGACATGAAGACTAAATCTCAACCTTTATTTTTTGTTCTAAGAATTTTATATGACCCCCTACTTTTTAAGGACCAACTAAGGGAATTAAAATTGTGTTTTAGATAAACAACTGCTATATGGAAACAAATTTTCCTTTATAAAATTTTAAGAACATGAGAATACTTTATTGGAGTAATATTCTTCAGAGATGTCATGCCCCTGCAAGATAAAAAAATATGACTATGATTTTCTAAATTTAGTCTTGAGATATTGGAATTTGTTTAAATCTAATTGATCAGGAAAAATCTAAACCTTAATATCTGAAGATAGGATGATGGTATCTGATCATGCTAATGAATAAAAAAAAATTTTTGGCATACTAAAACAGTGTATAAGCTGAAGTTCTTGAACAAAAGCAGCCTGTCAACTATAGTGCATTTAAGTACAGGAAAGATTGATGTTTGCCAAATGTAAAATCAGAGAAAAGAAAAATATGTTTTCAAGCTTAGGGGATTGCCAACAATGAAAGAGAAAATAAATAAAGATTTAAATGCACAATATTATTATACCTTGTCAAGGAAGTGTTAATTAAAATCAGGCTTCTTTTTAAAAAGCATAATGTAAGATTTCCACCAAAAGACTACTCAGGATTATGACAATTAATGCAAAAGCAGAATTTTAGAGGTGGGAAGTTATGGCTGACATTAAAAAGTGGTGCTATTACCTTATTACAAACCCATGCCCTAGATTTTAGTGTTAATGATATCCTATCAAATTAATTAATATAATGGGTTTGTTACTAAGGAAAAGCTGGGTTTTGAGAAGTATTGACATGAACCATCTGTAATTCCATCATAAATTCTAAAATATGTGGGTTTCAGTTTATTTCTTCTTCATTTTCAGGTTTATGACATTTATTTGGTAGCTATATATTGTTTTGAATGTGCAGTGGTTTGAATTCACTTATGATCCGTGTTAAGAACATGCATTGCATTCAAATGCTTAGGTGGAATTGGGCCTTTCATCTCAGAGCAGTGTATTTCATTTCCCTAGGGTTGGGATTAAATTGATATTTCATATTCATTTGAAGTAATTGTAATGAGAATATTTAACGTAGGTCAAATGGAGAATAGTGGTACCCTGGAAGTGCTTAGAAATAATTTGCTTTTACATACATTGTTCCACAGTGGGATTTAAAAAGATTACCACACCTTGTTTAAAGATGTTATATTGTTCTATTTGGGAATATAATGAAATCTTTGGCAGAAAAGAAAATAAACTGCACAGGTGAGTTTTAGAAACTACAAAGGCATCAGAATCAAATAATTATATATTTGAAATGCATGGATACTGTTAACAGTCTTTATGTACAGAAGATCAGAGACATATGTATTTTTTCAAAATTCTTATTGTTTTCTTTTTATTCCCGTAATGGAAAGTGGGGGGAAATTGTATTTATTTGCCCACAGACATGAGAAAGAATTACCCAGCAGAGCTATGTACCAAAACCAGATTTTTCTAGACTCCCTTTTCCCCTGAAGCAGTCTTTTTATTTGAGCACTATAAGTGATTTTCCATCTTTCTAACTGAAGTACTCAGGTATATATTAGCTTCACTCTCCCTCTCAGAACACTGACTTTGTTAGAGCCAAGAGAAGATAAATCATTTGTGTTGGTTGTTTGTGTCTCCTCTCTTGTGTTTAAAAAATAATCATAATTGCTAAACTAGATCAGTCTGTGTGTGAAAACTGGCCTGCCACGGAATGACCAGCTGCCGGAAACCCATTTAAAAATTATATTAGATTGGATGGTATCACCGGATCTGAGAGAAAGATTCTGAAACAAAGGATGCAAATGTAAAAACAAAAAATTCACTGAGTTCTAAATGATATTCAGAAACTGTCTTAGAACTAAAATATATCCAGTGATTGCTCCAGGCTAGATTATACTGTCTCAGAAAAATACGATAAGTTGGGTCAATGTTACAGGCCAAAATAATACATCTTCTAATACAGTTGTAGGCTTCTGCCATAAGTGGAAATGAATTTATGTTCAGCATATTCTAACATGGAATTTTGTTTGGAGTGTTCTAATAAGCCCAGCAATTACTTTAGGAAGCACAGAAGAGTTGCTTACCATGAGTAGTATTTTTTAAAAATCAATAAAAATAGATAGATAGATAGATAGATAAAAGAAGTGAAAATCTTCCATTTGGTAAACTCCCTGTGGTAACTTGAATTTTCTGCTGTATGACTACCATTCTTGGTCTTCCCAGCACCATCAGGAGCATGTTAACCCATTTTGTCCTATTGTTCCAGATGTGGGATACCTTTTAAGTTTTAATGTAGTATATAATATATAACTAGAATAGTGTATTAATTAATGTTAATATAATAAC